GTGCAAGTAGATAAATAGGTACCACTCCTGCGGGAAGGTAAACGGCGTTTCTGTGCGCTGCTCTGATTTGCCAGAAGCGGCTTAGTCATGCAGGCCACATGACCCGGAAGCTGTACACCGGCTCCCTCGGCCAATAAAGCAAGATGAACGCTGCAACCCCAGAGTCGTCCATGACTGGACCCAATGGTCAGGGGTCCCTTTACCTTACCTATCATATCCCATGTGCTTAGGGCTACGGTGCCTGTCCCATCTTGCTGATCATCATTACGGGTTGTGCCTGAGAACGTCACCTAAATGGGATCTTACTTTTTATGAAAGTACATGGCTGCATATTTCCAAAACATTTAGATATCACACAACTTAAATGCTGGGGCATTTCCCTCCTTCTGTGGTCCTAGGTTCACCTCCTAGTCCCATCCAGGCAAAGGCTAATACAGTACTGCACAAAAAATAAGAAAGAAACAGAAGATCCGTCATCCAGTGTAGAAATACAATGTGTTGCACGGCGACTAAGAAAGTTTCAAAGAGAACTCTGTGCTCTCTTCCTTCTTCACCGACAGTTAAAATGGGACTTCCCTTATCTCTAAGGGGTTCTGTTCACATTTATATGGCTCCCATCAAAGGCTCATAGCTTTAGCAATGCCTTCTCTATTGAAAGAGAGAGAGAGAGAGAACTCCAAGTTCTGGTGCTCCCTATCTCCCCTTTTCCTATTGGGTATAGGAACAAAGAAAAACACAATTCTAGGCAAAGAACAATCCTATCTGATCTAAGTCACAGAGCTCTTTATTACTGCTGAAGGTGGAAGCTCCGAAGGTCAGGCAGATTAGATAATCCCTTCTTTGAATATTGAAGGCAAATTTCAAATACTTTCTTGAACTTATTTCAGGCATTCTCTTTCCTTTCTCCCTTAATTGCCTCCTTCTGATGTATTTCTTGTTTATGCAATTAGCTATCCCAAGATAACCATCCCTGAACCCAATTCAGACTCTGATTGGCTGAAAAAGTGCATTGAGACAGCCAGTTCTGGCGCAATCTGGAATTGCTGACTGCTCTTTCAAGCAAGGAGAAGCGGCAAAGTAAATAACTGGAGGGTGGCATTTCTCCAGAGAGCAGAGTTCAAGAGCCAATGCCTCTCCAGGAGCCATCACTAGCTGGATTCATCAGTACTCACAATCATGCAAACAAATTCCTCTTCATGGGAGAAGTCTGCTTTAAAAGATTCCCCCCCCCCGAATCATGTTCCTTTTTGAATTAGAGATTATTACTTGAGGGGCCATCTCCCAGGGAATTTTTGAGGCCATTTGTTGTTTGTTTAGTCGTTTAGTTGTGTCTGACTCTTTGTGACCCCATGGACCAGAGCACACCAGGCACTCCTGGTGTGGTTGGTACAATATGATCTTATATAATCCTTAAATATTATCCGGCTTTTGGTTTTTTCACAAACGTTATTGCTCTACACTTCCTAACCTAGCCCGCTGCCCTTGGGTATGGTAGAAGATGTTGCCCCATTGCCAGTGTTGCAGTAAGGTTCAACCGTCAACCCCTTTGGAGTCTGGACGTGGAATTGGGATTGGAGCCGCCATCAAGTCCTTCACCACAGGCAACAAAATGTTTGGGTCCAGCCCCGAGACACATAGACGCAAGTACCTCATCAGGCTGAGCCCCAATCCACAGCAATGAGTTTCTTCCCCGTACTTGCCAAAGTATGACTGAGGTAAAAAAACCAGCCTCACGTCCATAAAAATGGTTTTATCTCTACTTTGTTGTTGTTGTTTAGTCGTGTCCGACTCTTCGTGACCCCATGGACCAGAGCACGCCAGGCACTCCTGTCTTCCACTGCCTCCCGCAGTTTGGTCAAACTCATGCTGGTAGCTTCAAGAACACTGTCCAACCATCTCATCCTCTGCCGTCCCCTTCTCCTTGTGCCCTCCATCTTTCCCAACATCAGGGTCTTTTCCAGGGAGTCTTCTCTTCTCATGAGGTGGCCAAAGTATTAGAGCCTTAGCTTCAGGATCTGTCCTTCCAGTGAGCACTCAGGGCTGATTTCCTTAAGAATGGAAAGGTTTGATCTTCTTGCAGTCCATGGGATTCTCAAGAGTCTCCTCCAGCACCATAATTCTTTTGAGGCCATAAGATGGCCAAATTCTACCTCAATATTTTGTATATAGTTGATACGACGCCCTTTGGCGTAGCAGGAACGTTGACCATAAGTTCTTCTAAAGCGGTCAACCCTTGGTCTGCTTGAATGGCTATACATAGTTCCAACAGAAGGAAAAACAATTGATTAAAATTAAACCATGACCATGTTACATTGGGAAATTTTAGCCAAAATCTGTTCTTTACATAGACCTACTTGTTCCCAGTCCTCCCAAGCCATCGTATCTCCAGCTTCACAAAACATGGGGTGGTAGCTGAGTGGAATCAGCAGAAAGATCAGAGAAGTGACTTTCTTGAGTATTGTTTGCCAAACACTTAATGTACTGAGCAAAAATGGGTTTTCCACCTGGTAAATTAATTTTGGGGTAATCGTAAGAAAGGGCCACGCCCTAAAATTCTGATCTTCCAATTCTGTATCAACCCACGGTTTTTCTCCTAGATCTTAAATCAAAGACACGAAGTTCCTGGCATGGAATGCCTTATAGGCAGTGCTTTTTTTAAGGGAAAAAGGAAAAAAGGTCCCGTTACTCACCATGAAATTGTTGCAGTAAGTGCCACACTTTTAACATTTTTTTGGGGGGGGTGTGCCAGTACTGCATACCCTTGAATACCCCCGATAAAAAAGCTAATAATATGTAAGCAGATGGGGTTTTTAATCAGTTAAAAAGAAAGAAAGATTGTAAACCCTCTTCCTGTTTGGTCATTGAACACATTCCAGCCTCTCTGCTGTTTTCTTTCTTTCTTTTTGTATCACCTGTAAACAGATGTGTTCAATCTGGAATGCCTTGTTAGTCCTCCTCTCGCCATTTCCTTTTTATACGACTTGTATACTCAGTGGACTTGTTGTACGACAGGTTGTGGGACTTTGGTCTGACAGAAAAACTAGCCTGCCAAATATGTGGGTTTCTAAAGGACTAATGGAAGCATTCTGCTACAGCAGTACGGCATCGCTGCATCACTTAAGTAGGCTAATAATGGCGGTTCTGCAAAATGCCCTCACGAGCAAATGTGGAAGGAAAACGCCTGAATGGCCAAAAATAATCCTGTGGTGACCCAAGTTTAACTAGAAGCTAAAATTTAGCCTACATCTTCCTTGGGCAATTTGGAAAGTGGGGAGGAAGGAGTTGTAAACATTTGAGAAAGGCTTTTTTTGCACATTTTAAGGTCTGTACATAAAAGCCTCTTTGATTACTGTTAAATCCCTTATCCGATTCCTCCCTTCCCATGGCTGTGGGCATCTATAGGACAAGCCATTTCCTTTAATATTCCTCCCTGAGCTCTGGTGAAATTGGTATAGCTTGGGAAAGTCTTGTCAATCTCGCCTGCAAATTAGTTCTCTCTTGACAAAGACTATTCTGCAGGCCAGGGAGATTTCTGTGCCAAAACCAGGCCTTAATCCCAATCCAAATGGATTCAGGAAATCAGTCTCATCCAAGAGGGTCAGGATCTGACTGGCAACCACCCTCTTCAGAATCCAGCCCAGAAAGGGGACATTTGCAACCATCCTAAAATTAATATCTCCTGGATTCACCACTACCTCTTTCAGACTCCCTCTCTTAATGAATAGTCTCCCTCATCCAACTGATCGTCCTCTTTCTGCTATGTTTTACAAGATATGAGGGAGCATAGTGTTCCCTTGTTAGAAGAGGTCTACCGGCTAATACAGTGGTACAGTGGTACCTCAGGTTACATAAGCTTCAGGTTACAGACTCTGCTAACCCAGAAATAGTGCTTCAGGTTAAGAACTTTGCTTCAGGATGAGAACAGAAATTGTGCTCCGGCGGCGCAGCGGCAGCGGGAGGCCCCATTAGCTAAAGTGGTGCTTCAGGTTAAGAACAGTTTCAGGTTAAGTACTGACCTCCGGAATGAATTAAGTACTTAACCCAAGGTACCTAACCCAAGGTAATTAAGTCCTTATCTTTTGTGTGCTTTCAGCTTTGTTTCAATTGTGTTTGTTTTAATTTTTGTGAGCCGCCTTGAGTCCCAGTCCTAGGAGAAAGGCAGTGTACAAATGAATGTAATAATAATAATAATAATAATAATAATAATAATGTATTGAGGCCACAAACCATCACACACACCCAACCAAGTGCCTTCTCCACTTACCCTGACTGCATCATCTGAAATTCATCTATCAATATTAGACCTGCCCCTATTTTCTCATCAGACAGACCTGTTACAATTACGAAGTCCCAAGTCTTGGCGGATGCACACAATTTTACCCTTGAAGTGCTAAGCAAACAAGTCACAAGCGAACCTCTCCTCTCGCTCTTCCGATCATCTTTCCACCAGCCTGTGAGCAGAGCTGCAACGATGAGCACAGAAGGGTCTTCTAGGCAAATCTGTGCTTATGTTTCAGTGGAGAAGTTTCTTCTGGGTTGGGAGCGAGGTCAGCTTTCTTCCCCGTGAGGGTTGTAAATAATACAGGGCCCCGGGGGCATTCGGCACCCAGGACGAGCTTCTGTTTGGACAGGGAATGAATTGTCCAACACATCCCGTCACCTCAAGCTAATTTGCTCTGGTCTCCTCAGCGAGTGACATGACAGGAGGTGACTGGATTTGATATGACATAATCCAGCCACAAGCAGAAAATAGGATAGATGAAAGGACATTCCCTGAGGCAAGCAAAACAGGCTGGTGTGGCGATGCTAACAAATAGAGTTGTGTTTTAAAAAACTCATTGATCAGAAGTGTGTGTTGTCTCACCTCTGTGAACATCCTTCATAGGGGAAGAGGACTAAATCCCATGCATGACTATCTCTGTCTTTAGCCCACAGAGCTGACGGTGACTGTCCTCTGTTAAAATAGAACAAGTTCTCCACAAACCTGAGTTTCTTTTAACTGGAGACGCCAGGGATTTGATCTGGCACCTTCTGCGTGCAAAATAGATGCTCTCCTACCACTGAGCTATAGCGCTCCTTTCTTGAGCGAAGGGTTTATTCTTTGATTCATCAACAGAATTCCTTCCGAACTTCAGAAGGGACTACCCAGGAAGAATCTATTTTTGTGCCTCTCTGCAAAGTAATATTTTTAATTGTTTGTCTGGTTTGCCAACAGCAACGTGGGCGACAGTACTGATTGGGCACCATGCCTGGAAAAAGAGCTTTTTTCCGTTCTGCGATTTTGCGTGGGTCACGTGACTCGCACAGGATTTCGGGCCCAGAAGATGGTGTCTCAGATTTGGGGTGCTTTGCGTCGGAGGTTATGCAATCCTCTCCCCTCCCTGATGAAACTTACTTTGAGGGCAGAAGGAAGACAGAATCAGTACATATAGAGATGGAAGAGACATTCATCTCCATTTTAGAGCTTTTAGGGGTTTTTGAATGTTTTATGTAGTTTTTATGTAGTTTTATGTAGTCTTCAGTTTCATTGTTCCGCAAGGGACAATGACAATAAAGATATTGTATATAACATTTTAATGCAAACACACCTAAATTTGCAATAATTTTGCAGCAGTGTAGGGAAAATTCCTTTATCTTCACAGAGATTCACTCAGCGTTCTAGTGAGCCAAACAGATATAGGTGCCTTGTATAGCCACTGAAACCCACCTCTGTGTGGCAGCCATGTTTGCATCCTTCAACCTTCGGACAAAAGGGATTGAGAGTTTCCATCTCGGCTCCGAACGTCCTTCCTCTGAAGGACGTTAACTGTTATTCTAACCTGAGTCTTTCCTGGTGCCTTCATATAAATCTCTGCCTGTTTCTTAAAAGCCAGCTCAGCTGCCTGAACCAGGGTTCTATTTTATGATGCTCATTATTTTTATATTGATGTTCATTTTCTGAAAATAGTGCGAAAGCTAAATGTGTACGGCCCCCTAGACAATTTAACAAAACCATATTTCAGTCCCTGTATCGATTGTCTATCTATACAGCAATATACAGTGGGGAGTTAATGTTAACAGTGCAGTATGTTAACTCAAGCAAAAGGCCTAGGAGAACAAAAATGGAAGACAGGCTTGTTTTGATTTTCCATTGCAGTGAGTGATCCATTCAGGCCTCCACCTGATTATTTCTCAGGTGTGTTAGCTAATTGCAGAGGCAGCAGCCTGCTCTTTGTAATAAGCAAGAGTTTTCTTGTTTGTTTGTTGTTTGTTTGTTATTTTTTAAAGATGTCTTAAACTGAGTCAGAACCTTAGTCCACCTAGCGCAGTATGGACTACACTGGGGTAGCCAATATGGCAGGGGTCAGCAAACTTTTTCTGTCATGGGCGGGTCCACCGTCCCTCAGACCATGTGGGGGAGGCCAGACGATATTTTTTGGGGGGGGGGAATTGAACGAATTCCTATGCCCCACAAATAACCCAGAGATGCATTTTAAATAAAAGGACACATTCTACTCATGTAAAAACACGCTGATTCCCGGACCGTCCGCGGGCTGGATTGAGAAGGCGATTGGACCACATCTGGCCCCTGGGCCTTAGGTTGCCTACCACTGCAATATGGTGTCCTAAAGGTGGCGGCTGATCAGGGCTGATGGGAATTCTCGTCCAAAAAATCTGGAGTGCACCATGCCTGGTCCACACCTCCTCCCCGAGCTCAGCGGTGGTGACATTAGCACTGGCGGAGGAAGAGGAGTGGGGCGGGGAGCGCACCGCCCCCCAGCAGTGCGATCCCGGTGGGTGCCATTGTGGCTGCCCCCCTGCCCACGCTGGGTGCCACGCCCCCAGGATGCACGCCACACACCCCAGGATATGCGCCAGCCCCGCCCCCACCTGCTCTCCGCCCCCCGGTGCCGGAGTATGAAGCTCCGCCACTGGAAATTAGCAGGGAAAATAAAGACATTCTGGGATCAAATCAGAAGCCAGGATGGCTTTCAGAATTCCGGGATTGTCCCTGGAAAATAGGGCCGCTTGGAGGGTATGGTGGAGGAACTGCACTTGGCCCAACTTTCACTGAGCCATCAGCTTGTTAGTCCATTTAGTTCAGGATTGCCAAGGGCTGAACTTGGGGCCTTTTGCATGCAATGCTTTACGTTGAGCTACAACCCCCCCCCCCCCAAAAACAACACACCACACACATCCAGATAAAAACCCAGATGGCAAAGCTACTAAAAGCTCCAGCCAGCAGCCAGCAGCTTTGCAAAATGCCACATCCCCAGTAAATCGGCCATCACCCTTTCGACGCTCCGGATTTTATTATCTGCATGAATCTGTAATTATTAACTGTGCAACATTTCATTGCCCAATAAATGTTAGTTATGGTATATTTGGTAGCTGCCTGAAATGTAATTAGTGCTTGGATGCTAGATGCTCAAGGAGTCCTAGCCGCAGTAGATAAAGTCAATTAAAGCCCCATACTTGATAAAAGGTTTAACAGCAGCAGCATAAACAAATAAAAACAAAATATTGCATTCATAGGGAATGGCATATGCATCATGGCGCCGGGTGTATGTGTGAAGGGCTCGGCTCTTTGAGAGATCTGGTCGTATGGTGTGTGCACAAAATAATTCAGTTTGTGTCATTTGCATCCTGACTACCCTTTTGCATCCACAGTCATGGAAGCTTGAAAAAGGTTCCAGAAGGAAGGCCTGGAGATCTACTGTAGGAAAATGAAGACTGAGAGGCGGCAGGTCAGCACGCCTTGCTTGCAAGTCCACTTTTCCACAACTTTTTTGTCTCTGGATTTGATTTGTTCCTGGGGATGGGCCACAGCTGAGTCCCAGACCAACCCCTGACATTCCAATATAACACGTTTTTGTATGTTATTTTCACCAATATATTCCTTTTCACCTAATGGATACATTTAAAAATAAAATAAAATAAACGCTGTTCAGTTGGAGAACTGCGCTGCGAAATTCAGATGCGTGTGAATTTTGATGGATAGCTGTGTTTTGGTTCTCATATTGTTTTGGGAAGAGCAACTTTGACAGATGCACCTTTAGATGCGAATTTCTGCCCCTTCTCCCTATGCTCAGGGAAGTGCATATTTGTAGCCTAAATGGAGAATTTGCGTGTTGAGACCCAGAAACCTCCCCCCTAAATAAATTCACACGTGACTCAAGTTTTGGTTTTGGTTTTTGGCAGAATTTAGGCCACAACTTTATTGATTACAGAAAGTGACTGGTTGCATAGGCTCTGTTTCGACTAGCTCCCTGCCATGCAGGTAGTGCTGACCCAGGGCACCAGCATAGGTCAGCCAAGGGTGAACACCTGGATAAGCGGAAAGCCGGGAACGGGGCTAACTCCGCCACCCAAATGTCCCCCTGGACTCAGGCACAGGCACAACCCCCTCACAGGGGTGGACCAAACCATCAAGTCCCTGGATTCCTTTAACAGAATACCCTTCACATAGGGATGGCGAGAGTGTTCTCCCATCCCCATCACCTGAACCAGTGCCTATCCGCAACCTTACAAGTTGTGACAATTTGCTACATGGCAGGCGAAACCCAAATGGCAACAGCCAATCAGCCAAGTGGGGAAAATTCCTGCCGTGCCCCTGTCCCAATGACAGACGACACACGACGGCATAGCAAGGTCAATCGCAAAGCCCGGAAAGTAGGGAGAGGTGGGCGTGTGTTCTGAATGCATGCGCTGAAAGAGGAAGCTCTGGGTCATGTGCATAGGTACATATAGGTCCCTCGAACCGTTTGGACTGCGTCCTATTGGCCAGATTGTACCCAGCTTCAACGGACCTACCAATCGGGTGTTGCGGCTGTCCAAATGTACCCACCCACAACACAGGGTGTGGGTTGTTCAGGTCTCACCGCAATACATGCCCTCTTTAAGGGATGACACGATTTCTTACAATTTTCATTCATATATATTCTATATACATATGTGTGTGTGTGTGTGTGTGTGTATACACACACAGTGGTACCTTAGGTTAAGTACTTAATTAGTTCTTGAGGTCCGTACTTAACCTGAAACTGTTCTTAACCTGAAGCACCACTTTAGCTAATGGGGCCTCCTGCTGCTGCCGCGCCGCCGGAGCCCAGTTACTGTTCTCATCCTGAAGCAAAGTTCTTAACCTGAAGCACTATTTCTGGGTTGGAGGAGTCTGTAACCTGAAGCGTATGTAACCTGAAGTGTATGTAACCTGAGGTACCACTGTATACTTAAAGAAAAAGGTAAACATTGATTCTGGCACCACCCTCCATAAGTTCAGGCCATGACCCACCCATTAACCAACAGTGGTAGTAGGCAACTTCTTACAGGGAGGGAGGAACCGTCCAGGGCTCAGTTATAGTGGGAGAAGTTTGTAATTATCCCAAGACAGAGAATTGTTCATGGCCATCTATTCCCACTCTCTGGCTTCAAATGTTCTGCTCTGTTTGGAAATGGAGGAGAGTCTTGCTTCAGCTTCGTGCATAGGGCCTTCTCAGAGGCATTGCAGAGCCGTAAATCTTTCTGAAGCCAGCTTGCTTCTAGGGGCTAATTATATTGTCAGGAACAGGGTCTGGAAGGGGATTGTGTGCGTTACAATGCTCGGCTGGCCCCGGGTTCAGATGGCATTCATCGAAATGCCCCCTCCCCCAGTCAATTTCACGAGACGTTAATTAATGAGATACTTCAATTAGATCATCTTTGTCACCGGGAAGGAATTATTCTTCGTGGTCAAGATTACATCATCTTAATTAGTCCCTCTCCAAGTAATTTGCTTCTTTTCAAGCCCTCAGGAAGGGTACATTCATTATAGATAATTAATATTCAAGTTAATTGACTGTACCCTACAATTCATGGAAGCTCTTTGGAAAGGAGGAGAGGGAGCGGGGAGGAGATTCCTTAGCTAGGCTATCGGACAGTCTCCTAAGAAGTTTGGCCAAACAGGTTTGAGGCTCTTCAGTCGAATGGGAACAAAATTTTAATGATCAGCCCCTGGGTGCCTCGGCCGCAGTGGTTAATATTCACAAAAGGGTGATGCATTTGAATCAGTGTAGTTAAGAGAGACAGCAACGGAGCCCTGAAGGGGAGATGGTAAAT